AGGAACAGCTAACGTAATTGTAACTTGGTCATTAGAAAAACAACAATTATTATTGATAAAAATCGCAGCAGTTGATCACTACACACCAATAACTGCAGTTACCATGTTATATCTAGGGGAATAAATAAGTAATAAACCTGTATGTAGTTATATTTAGGTATATTGTGTTGAATTATGCTACTTGTGTTTTTATTTTTTACAGTGTTATGTGTAAATGTTGAAGCGGTTTGTCCGGCGGGAAAGGCAGGACAGGCTTGCGACAAATGTAAGTTCTTTGATCTTACTTTACCTTAAGTTAGTGAAGACACATTTAATGGTTCGTCAGTGGCAGTAATGCATCCTTAAATTAAGCACTGCGACTGGAGCGTGTTTTGCGTGTCGCTTTGGTTTGAACAAGTTCTTGCAACTTATGTTAATCACTTTCGAGACCGTTTTCTCAACCAACCAGTACTGATGTCATATAAAGAAACATGGTCGTTACCAGAGTAGGGCTCGAACCCATGATCCCTAGGTTGTAAGGCAGACACATTTACCACTAGACGACAGCTCCCCGTGTCGCTTTAATCAGAGAATATGGAACACGGACTGTTCTCCTGCTTCCATCCCACCACACCTTTCCCCTCCCATCATAGAATTTTTTGGAACACATTTTGTTTTTTAAATGACATTCAACAATATCACTATATGTACTCAAATGTATTGAAAACCACAATCTAGCCATTGTAAAATATATTCAAACACAATCACAAACGTACACCGTCACATCCAGTCAACCGTGCATGCCCATGAAGAAGCCCATGTTAATTATTCCGATGTTGGATCAGATTTACTTCTGGGATGTGTACGGTAGATAATAATGTTATACATATACAGTAATAGTTAGTCATTAATCTCATGAATAATGATTTTACTCATGATTTTACTCATTAGTTTACTCATAATTTTACTCATGATTTTTCTCATGATAAAAAAAACTTGTTAGTTAAAGCATAATGACATTTTAGCCGATGTTTTCAGACTGATTATTGAAACTTCGATCGCTGCATGGAGGTTTCGCTTACGTACGGACATTGTTATTTCATATTAATTTATTTGCAGATAATTATGCTTACAACAAACCAGCCAATCAGAAGGAAGATTGGATGTCACACTCCGCCCACTTTGCCGTAGACAACAATGGAACGTCATGTACGGTGATGAATCCGCCAGTCGAGAACCCGTGGTGGTCTGTAGATTTGAGAAAAGACATGTTCATTGATGGAATTGATCTCTTTATTGGGCAGGAAACGCTTAGTAAGGACCAGAAATTTTAACAAATCCCTGACATCTTTACTTTTAGAAATTTTCAAATAGAAACATATTAGTTAAATAACATAACATTTAATTCAAATAACATAACCTTTAAGTTAGATAACATAACATTGTATCATTTGGAGACCTTTCTGTTGAAAATGTGTCAGGGTTAAATCGTATACATATACATGCACAGTGCGTACTGGAGTGCGGGTGTTAGTTACCCGCACTTCAGAGCATGCCCATTGATTGGCTCATTTTTGCTGGGGTTTATATATTGTGACGGCAGAGAAAGGGAAAGCGACAGAAATGTCATAGTCAGATGTTCGTCCATTGGTTCATTTTTGCCGGGGTTTCATATTGTGACAACAGGGAACGTGCTTTTATGTTTGACTATGATACAAAAGAGAAAGAACACCAAAACACCCGGCAATCTGATTAATACTCGGGGGCTACGCCCCCCTCGTACAAATCAGATAGCCTCGTGTTTCGGTGCTCTTTCTATTACTTAAATGTAAAATAACGAAAAACCCTATAAGTTAAATAACAAAACTTTTTATTTAAATAACATAACCTTTGAGTTAAATAACAAAACTTTTGAGTTAAATAACATTACCTGTAAGTTAAATAACATAACCTATTAGTAAAACAGCATTACTTTTGCGTTAAATACCATGATTACATTTTAGTTAAATAACAAATCTTTTAGTTATATTTTAGTTAGTTATATTATACTTTTTATAGTCTCACTCTAATGATATAACTTTAAATCATGATGCTTAAATCCTTCCCAACCACTGTTGGGTTTTACAGCGTACCAACAATATCTAGGTCATATGTCGATGAAACTGGAAGGATACCTCGGGGTTTACACACTTAAAACAACACAAGAGGTTAAAACCATCCCATCTGCTGGAGCTAAGAGATGCAGTCTTAAAGCAACACCAGGGGTGAAAACCACCTCACCTGCTGGTGATAAGAGATGCAAAGTCTTCAGTAATTCAGTCATTCCCATAAGCACGGCTTAAACGGTGGCTGCAGTTCTGTTGCCTCCACCATTAAAGGCAACCCTCAATTACAAAGGGATTTTATTACCATTTTAACCGTTTTTTTTTTAAATATTTATTTTCAGATGAATTGATAACGTATGCCATTGAAGTACAGAAAGATGGAGAAACAACATGGAGCATGTGTCACGCTGATAGTAAGACCGGAAGTAATAGCTTCAGTAGCCCCCTCAGAGTTCGGTGTAACTCCCGGATGAAGGGTAGAACAGTTAGATTCACGGCATATCATCAAAGCATCAATTTGGTGTTCTGTGATGTGGGAATTTATGGGGGTAAGTTTGTTTATAAAAAATTATCATGTGGGTGTATTTTTCAGTGGAATTGCCAATGATTAATTATGTTTTTAGACCAGTGGTCAAATTTCTCACGGATTGACATATCCGGGATTACCGATAAACGCATTATACTTGAAATAAGAAAATATATATTTATATTAAATACGAGGGGTGTTCAAATATGAATGGAACTTGTCAATGTCTCGCCCTTAACCACGTTTTACATAGATGGCTGTGTAAGCTCTCAATTGATACAATACATGTGTAAATCAGTTCAGTCTAGCTTTGACAATAGCTCGATTAACGCTATTTACTATAAAATGGTTTGGAAAAGGTCTCCTTTTCATTGACCAAAAAAGGTCCTATATCAAAAACTGCTGTATTCTTGTTATACAGACGAAAGACATATTTAATGAAATATATCGTGTTTATGTGAACAAAGAACTTTCTTTTTCATCTGTCACACGGTGGTGTAAGACATTTAAAAGTGGCATGGATTTAGTAAAAGATGCACCGCATGCATGCCGTCCGAAAACTTAATTTGACCAAAAAAAGTAGAAAAAGTAAAGGATTTGATAGCTACCGATGCAAGATTTACAACGGCGTGCATGAGGTGCATCTGTTACTGAATCCACACCACTATTACATTTCTTACACCAAATATCATCAATGGCGATGAGACGTGGGTTCATTTATGAGCCTAAGTGAAAGATACATAAGAAATATGGGCAACCAAAAAAAAGTCAAAGACCTTGCATAGCAGAATGCACCATGAGCGCCAAAAGGCCATGCATGTAATTTTCTTTACCAATCAAGGTCCTGCTATTCAAATTGCCGTACCAACGGGCAAATTTGTAAATGCCAAACTTTATAAAGTCAAGGTCCTTCAAAAATTGAAGAAATATTTCAAAAACCGTCGACCAGCACTTGTCTCCGTGATGTCAGGTTGTTGCATGAGGATGCTTCGTCATACAAAACGGCCATTGATCTGAAACAGGAAAAGGTTGTCGAGCTTCCTCACCATCCTTATTCGCAATATTGCCCCTTGTGACCTTTTCGTTGTTCCGAGGCTCAAAAAACACCTTGCTTGAAGAAAATATCAAACCCGAAAAAATCTGTGTTCGGCTATTTTCTAATGTTTGGTTTAAACATATTTATTTTAAGCTCGATTGCGAAACAAGTTCTTGCAACTTATATTAATCACCTTCGAGTCCGCTTCCTGGAACCAACCAGTACTGGTGTCATATGAAGAAACATGGTCGTTACCCGAGTAGGGCTCGAACCTATGATCTCTGGGTTGAGAGGCAGACACCTTAAACACTAGGCCACCGCTCCCCTTAATTTCTAATGCTTGTGTTAAGCACTTCTGAAAATTGACCCAGTTGCATTCATATTTGAACACCCCTCGTATTCTTTTATTTATTGCACACTTCAATTATCATTTTAGGTGGTTCCCGGCTCGGCTGTACTTGTTTATTTGTATCTATTGGGTACTAGGAACCAGATAACACATATTGTGATAAGTATTTATCTTCTGCTGTCGGTGAACAGAATGATAAATATTTGAAAACGCATTTCCCTTGACAGCTATAGAAAATTTATAGAAAGCACTTTGATAAATTTAAAATGAAAACTGAGGCAGGTATTATAGAACATTCATTCATGCGTATCCGTTCACTATCCGTTCTGTTTCATATCACAACATGTCCCGATGAAATGAATAAGAAAAAAAAGAATTTGGCGTGTACTATGAATTATGATATATCAAGGAGCATAACTCTGTTAGTACTGTTGCTCTAAATTATTTCCCTTTTACAGCATGTGTTGATGGTTCATATGGCAACTATTGCGAACATGATTGCGGACATTGTAAACTGAACAGCCCTGTCTGTGACAAAACTACCGGACGGTGCCCGACAGGGTGTGATACCGGCTGGTACGGGCCGACTTGTGACAAAGGTAAGTTTTAATCTAATTGGTATACTGTACACTGTATCCAGTTTGCATATATTTACATTAATTTTATAACTTTTAAAACTAACCAAGAATCAAAATCTCGGGTACAAAAATGATAAAGATTCTTATAGTCTAAAAGAAAAAGGTTTCAAAACGTACAAAACTACATAGTTACTTTGGAAATGTTACAAAAAGAAGTTCAAAATAAAAGTTAAAAAGAAGTGTCACATTAACATTTGTAGCGCCGATATATGTCCAAATGTCGAAAAATGTCCAAACGACGATAAATGTCCAAAAATTGACGATAAATGTCTCAATCGCCGATAAATGTCCAAAACTCCTTTAACGATAAATGTCCAAAAATTAACGAAAAATGTCGCAACAAATTAGGTGCTCATAAATGTCCAAATCGGTTAACGATAAATGTCTCAACTTTTCATATGTTAATTGCACTTATTTCTATGATCAACAGTAATGCATCAGCCAGTTATAAAGGTTTCCATAGGGATTAAAAGTACCGATTTAAGTAGCGTTCTCACCAGCATCCGGGCAAAGCCCAGGACCACCCCAGACGATCCGGGATGGAAATATTGTTGCAGTCTCAATAGCCCCAGTAGCACTACGGCGATACCCAATTTCCATACTTATAACAACCAGGATGAACTCCGGGCCATCCATGCAGAGTCCAGTTGAAACTACGGATAATGCAGATAGTAAGTGGACGACGGATGACCTAACACGATATTCAAACGCTGTTAAGTCTTCGATCAAAAATATCATAAAAGCTGAGATCCATGCTAGCACAGCCCCGGATGATGTCGGCAGAGTCCCGGATGATCCCGGCAGAGCCCCGGTACGGTCAGATAGAGTACCGACAATCACCGGTAGAGCCCCGGCAGAGCCATTGATCATCCCGAACGTTGCCAACAGAGTTACGGACGTACCCCGGTCGTTCCTGGATCACCCGACCGACCACTGGGATGCATGTGAGATTGTTAAAAAGGTTTAAAAAATGTATTTGAAAATAAGTTGATTGTTGGATACAGTCTATCTCACTTACTATTAAAAGGGAAAAAAATTAAGTTAAACTGAGGTGCATTGTACTGGTGCTTTACACCGGGCACTTCAAAAACCAGGGTCGCCTCTGGGTCGTCTTCTGTATCATGCACTATCCCCCGAAAAATAACATACTAACAATCTTCAGGGGACGTTGGTCATATCGGCAATCGGTACCAACGATAAAAAAGTCAAATAAAATAAATTATTATGACCCCCTTCGAAGAAGTGGTGGTATATTGCTTTGACCATGTCGGTCTGTCGGTCGGTCCGTCGGTCCGTAGACCATGCCATTTCCGCTCAATAACTAGAGAATGCTTTGGCTCATGGTCCTCATATTTGGTGTGGAGGTTGGTCATGACTAGTAGATGACCCCTATTGATTTTGGGGTCAGTAGGTCAAAGGTAAAGGTCACAGTGACCTCAACATGAAAAGCTTGTTTTTAGAAGATATTTTTGTGTAACATTGTCTCATTGACAACTACAGGGTTTACTCAATTCATGGACCCATGGGTCATATTGGTTCTGCACCATGGCAATGATATACATGTATTCCATAACAAATTTACTATGCATTTTTATACACATTTAAAAATCTTATGTTATAATATTAAATTGGCTGTGTTTAGGGGGGCATACATGTTTTACAAACATATCTTGTTAACATCTGCATTGCGCTACTCTACACTTATAGCTATACTCGAACTCAACCTCCACTCAGACTCAGGAAAGGCTTCCTTAAGGACGAATTGAGGACGCCTTGGTCAAGGTGAACTCAAGTGTAGAATTGGTTTTCTTATTTGAAAGTCTTCCTCGACTTACCCGAGGAAGGTTTGAGTAGCAAATCACCCGTAAAATGATCTGTTCAATAAAATATACAATAATTACATAATTCATTATGTATATCAATTGGATTTCAAGATAAGTATTGATTTGAAAGTATCATAAATATGAGTTTGGTACGGACATCATTTGTACATGTACTTTTGAAAATGATTTGCAGAATAAAACGTTGACTAGTGAGCAAGTGGTCTGTGTACAATAATTATTCATCTATATTTAAATCTACCATCAAATTGCTGAAGTCTATCGACAGAATTAATTTATTCTACGTTTTTTGAAAATGTATTAATCAGGTTTTGAGTTATTTTCACGACTAAAGCGCAGTTTGATTAATAGTGAACACTAATATAACTTGAAAATGTGAAATATTTTGGACAGAAAAAGAGGTATGCTTATTTCTACCATATTCATTTATTCAGTTGGTGCACATAAACTAATAATTTTCTTAACCGTTGATGAATTTGTCTTTACGTACAAAAATGGTTGTTACTATAGGTATATTTAGGTATATAGGTTACTAAGTAGTGTTGTGCAGTTATGTGACATTTACCTACCTAGAATTTACATTTCACCTGATATAATGCAGGATTTGCCGAATGTTGTAAGCGTGAGACGACTTTTGCTGAATTTTGGTCGGTTCAGTGGCCTGAAATTAGAAATCCGCAATATTATAAGAGAATCTAGATGGGCCAATGCTTTGTTGCACCTTCGGTTATGTACTGATGCCCTTTGTTGGTACGAGATTGTAGATATATGGTAGAGAAGACGGTAAGAAATGGCCGAAATAACACATGGCTGTCGGGGTGATAGAGGATATTGCCAACCCTTGAACTGGCATATTACCCTCGGCTGCGCCTCGGTGTAATATACCAGTTCTCGTGTTGACAATATCCTCTATCACCCCGACAGTCATGGTTTAATTTTATATTATTATACCTCAATTTATCCTTCAATGTAAAACGCCCATAGGCCTACAATGTGTTCTGATCGAATATCACCCTCCTAGAATATATTCCCCGGGGAATATTTCTTATATCACCCTGGGGCACATAACTCTTACATAACTTTGTATTCATAATAGCGATAATGCCTTAGTAACCAGTTAACGTAATGCAAAAATATACATACTTACACAATTTAAATAGTTTATAAAAAAAATTTATTTAGCAAAGAATCCCACGTGGAAAGCAAAAAGTTCGTGCGAAACCGTTACAAGCTTGTACATGTTCACGTGTATAAAAATTACTATGCAAATTTTATAGATAGATGATTAAAATAATTGTAATTTTGCATCCATTAATAATAATTATAATAATTTGATTTTGTTGTTGTTATCTATTTTCTAATGAAGAAATAACGATATGTCTGTTTGTCTTGTTTTTATCAATACATTTTTGTGTTTACAGATAAAAATCGCTGTAATTTTGAAGTGTTGATCTGTATTTTCTCTTATGAATGTTTTGGAACCTAAGGTATTTTTCGGTATAATAAAATAAATAACATGGTTGTCGGGGTGATAGAGGATATTGCCAACCCTTGAACTGGTATATTACCCTCGGCTGCGCCTCGGGGTAATATACAACTTCTCGGGTTGACAATATCCTGTATCACCCAACTTCTCGGGTTGACAATATCCTCTATCGCCCCGACAGCAATATGCTATTTATATATTATTATACCTCAATATATCCTTCAATGTAAAACTCCCATAGGCCTACAATGTGTTCTGGTCGAATATCACCCTCCTAGAATATATTTCCCGGGGGATATTTCTTATATCACCCTGGGGTACATAACTCTTACATAACTCTGTATTGGTAAAAACGATAATTGCTTTAGAACCAGTTAGCATAATGCAAAATGACATCCACGTGTTATTTATATAATATTGTTAAGTTAATATTTGACATATATATAGAAGTAATATTTTAATGTACATGTTTGTATCCAACCAACATACTATTACGTCAAGTGTCTATTACGGTGGCACAGATGTGACACATGGGTGTCTTTATTTATCTTGTTCACACGAGATTTTATCTTGTTCCCACAAGATATTATCTTGTCCCCACGAAATAATTATCTTGTTCCCACGAGATAATATCTTGTTCCCACAAAATAATTTTCTTGTTCCCACGACATAATTATAGCCAATCAGAAGCTCTAAAATGGTAATATATCAGTTACTTCCCCTTATTTAGTTGAACATTTACTTGATTATATCTACATTATATTCATGCATAACCATGTAGGTTGATCTTGAAAGTGCCACACTGTAGGGACATACAAAAAACTACCAATTACTGGTGTTTAATAGCGCATACCCTCATCTGGTGACGCATTTGCGTGCAAACTGATCTGGGTCGACACTGGAGGGATACATGTAAGTAGCCTTTACAAGGCGGTGGCCCCGCAGTGGCGTTCAGTCCACCACGCGCGAATGAGTAATAATCAAATACAAATGTCTTAAATCAATGTAGCATGAGAAGGACCGTCTTCGCAGCACTTAAGAGAAAAGTCACAAAACCCATTTAACACGTGTTGCATATATGCTTATAACGACCATTGTCGACCCATTTCCCCCGACAAGCAAATGCGTCATCCTGTCAAGGTCTGCACTGTTCGCTGTTGAATCAGTATCAATGATTAGCTTACATGGTTTATACAGGTTAACTGCTTTGTTTGCCAGATAGAGTTGCATATTTTTCTTAACTTTTGACCACTTGACAGTAAAGGAATATGCAACTCTGTCCACGCCCCTATATCGTTAACAAACTTTCGGGACGGACACTTAGCCACTCGGACGGACAATGGCAACGCTATATGGGGCACAAAAATATTGAAGAACACAAACAATGCTAAAACGTATTGCTTCGGTGAGTTAAGAAGGCACTTGCCCCCGCGCCCCATCCGGAAATGCAACTGGCCATGCACAATAATGTATGATACATTTTACGTCGGGGGTAAACCAGAGGGTAAAATCATGGGTTAGTTGGATAGACTGTTACAGTATCAAATACAATAAATTACAAATTAACATATGAAAAGTTGAGACATTTATCGTTAACCGATTTGGACATTTATGAGCACCTAATTTGTTGCGACATTTTTCGTTAATTTTTGGACATTTATCGTTAAAGGAGTTTTGGACATTTATCGGCGATTGAGACATTTATCGTCAATTTTTGGACATTTATCGTCGTTTGGACATTTTTCGACGTTTGGACATATATCGGCGCTACAACATTAAAACAATGCACAGTTTTGTCAGCTGCATTCTTTGTTCACATCCAACATGAATATTTCGAACATATTATTCATTTGCTAAGAATAAGTATGAATTGTAAATTTATTGCCACAGTTTGTCCACACGGTAAATATGGTGACCAGTGCGCCAGTAACTGTGGTCATTGTAAATACAACGCTACTTGTTTCCGGTTTAATGGAGAGTGTCCGAATAATGGAGCTTGCGAGGACGGGTACCAAAGTCCATTTTGCCAACAATGTAAGTATGATTTCTTTCATTAATGATAAAAATAAAATCAGAAGTGATACACCTATATCTAAACAATAATTACAAACATTAAAGGGTATAAATCTATATCTTAGGAAATATTTTATTAAAATTTATCAACAGTGAAATTATATTGATTCCATTATTATATGGTTGATTCCCGAAAAAGTTGTAACATAGAATGTCTCTGAAATTTAAAACAAATGCATTATGTACGTGGACAGAATATAATGTTCTGGAACAAAATGTTATTTTTCTATTTTTAAGTAAGGTTTTATCCGTTTAGCAATGATTTTGTGCATGCGCCATTGCTTTTAAGACAATAAATTACCATATTCATTTCATACAAGCATTTTGGTATTTTTTTTTTTTAAATTCAAACAATAATTTTTTGCATCAGAAATATAGATATATACACTTTAAAATAAAGTGTCTATGTATATCAATGTGCTCTAATGTTACCTTTTGGTTTGTTTTTGTCAATTTATTATTCTTCTGAAATAAGCCCCTCATGAATCTTGTAAATGTACGGTGTCTATTTTACTCATCTAACTATTATATTATAACAATATATTACAACACTATTGTATCATGTAATTAAACATTCTTTGTATTTTAGTTACCTGAAAACAATTTAATGGTATCTTATCATTCACACAAAGTGTAAAGGTATTTATACGAAACTGTGAATAAATTTAATAAATAACTGAAATAATGAATACAGAAGAAGTTGAGCTGACTAAATGTATTCTAGAAACGCACTTTATATTTGATTTGCTAGTAAAATATGAATAACCAGTCTCAGATATTGTACAATAACTCGTTTTAAAAAACTTCAGTGTGCGTTGATGGCACGTGGGGCGCCGGATGTAAGAAGTGTGGTCATTGTAGGTATAATCAACCGTGCAACAAGTTCAATGGCACGTGCACGAACGGTTGTGCTACAGGATACGACACTGCCTTATGTGATAAAGGTAAGGTATAAAATAGGGTTCTCTGTCAACCTACTTTTTTTGACTATAATTCGGTCGCAGTTTGTTTGCTTACCTTGACTTCCGGTAACTTTCAGAGCTATTGTCCATCCTTTTCCCGTTATTTGCCGTACAGGGCTGCTCTTCGCCTAGTCTCATGTCATTAAAACATCAGAAAATTTAATAAATATTGAATTAGAATAACAAAGAAAAAGAAAGACACTGCTAACATGTTCTTATTTACTTTGATGAAAGTATTACGAGTTATTCAAGATGTTTCATTAAGTTACTTTGTTGATGATATTTTCCTTATTTCTTTAACTGTGTATTACTTTTCAAATCTCCAAGTCCAGACAAAAATGCAACCTGGCCAGTTTAATCTTTTGCGATGCCATTACTATGGGACTTTTTTATGCAATTACATTGTTTTTTATTTAAACCCCTGATGATTTTTACAACGAACATTATGGAATCTCTGAATGTTCTCGTTTCGGCGTTAATTTTTTTTCCATACAGATATGAATACATTGATAAGAATATATAAATTTTAGAGTGTAGTTTCGGTTTATACGGAGACGAGTGCTTGTTGGAGTGTGGTAATTGCTACAACGTTACTGAACCTGTGTCGTGTAACATAGCAACCGGCAAATGTGATGTATCCTGTGCCCCGGGTTATATAGAAGACTCAAAATCACGTGACAGCCGAACCCAGTGCAGGACAGGTTCGTATCAGAATTAAAAAAGTATATTTTTATTGACTCAAAATTGTCTGAATCTCAGGGAGTGTTTGAGCCGTTTTTACGTTGTACGTAAAGTCACGATTTGGTTGATAATATCATTTTCTGTGTGATTTGACCTTCATAACTTTATCACTTGATTAAATTAAGAAAGCGTCTATATCTTGCACAAAAAATAGATTTTTACTCATACAGAATCCAGGAAAATGTCTTTGACAAGCCAGGTATAGAAATACTGTATAAAAATAATATGACACTTGACAGAGAGGAAATCTGAATTTAATTTAGTGACAATATTCTGCTTAATTAATTAGTGTTAAGTATAGAAATTAATACTTAATTACACTTTTATAAGGGCACTATACATTTACCATTTAATTTATTGAATTTCAACATGTTGTTTGAAATAATCAAATTATTTAAACATTGCCTTATAGGGACAATCATCATGAAGTTATACTGAATATTTTTAACTCATACAATTCTAATTTGGATCTATTTATAGAATGCGAGTTATACAAATGGGGATTTAATTGTGAAAATGACTGCGGTAATTGCGCAAGGCAGAATGGGTCCGTTACTGAAAAAGTGCCATGTTTAAGATCAGACGGAAGTTGTTTGACTGGATGCATGCCCGGCTGGCAGGGACTATTTTGTGAAGATCGTAAGAATTTATTCTATGTAGAAAATGTATTTTATGTTATTTAAAGCATGCATAAATGTGAATTCCTAATATAATCATTACAAGGGTACATGTAATGTTAGGAAACAGTTTTAACTGTAAGTGATTGTGCTTTAATAGACCACCGTGATTACGTACTTTTGTTGTAAATTTAGTACCAGAAATCAAGAAATATTAGAAAAGAAAATTGAATTCGGCTGATGTAAAACCTTCTCTCGAGTTTATGTTTTTAAGTAAAATATTCAAACAATGTACGTGAACTTTGTAAAAATGTTTCAGAGAAAATATATAATAATTCAATACGTTTTCTTGCCTGTTTACTTCTATTTTCAATATTTTATGAATTACCTAGCATGTAGCAGTGGTACGTATGGCGTAAGCTGTGAAAATAAATGTGGAAAGTGTAAAAATGGTGCTAGTTGTAACACCATCACGGCAGAGTGTCCTGGTGAATGTGAAGATGGTTACCTTGGTAAAACGTGCCAAGAAAGTAAGTGCTATTTTTAGACATATGTTATATTTTTAGATGGACATTATTTAACAAGAAAAGAAAAATGTGCAGCCTTGCCTAGACTCAAAAGCCAAAACTTTCTGAATAATCTTTCCGCAATACTTCTGGTTGGTTTACCCGAAATTTTCCGCTATTAATAGACAGGTCCATACAGTGACATCCCCGTTTAAACCAACTGCATGATGGTCTTATAGATACATGCATGCAGGAGCTCTGTACTCTCTTGTTACTTACTAGATCATAGATCGTTGGAAGCTGTATTAGGTAGACCTGGTTCACTCCTTAGGAGCTTTGCTAATTAGGTCAAATTAACTGATTGGGAGCTGTATAGTTAGGCCTGGTAAACTCCTTGAGTATTAGTTAGGTCTGGTAAGTCCTTGGGAGCTGTGCTTATACGAGGCCAGGCTAACTCATTTCATTTTATAAAACGCCGTTGGCTGTAAAGGGCTAGGTTCACGAAAAATGTGTACTTCAGTATTTGTTTCTATGGAGATTAAAATTGAATTTCAATGTAGCAAACTAACAAAATATTTCTATTTACAAAGTTTAATACAAGTTTTGCAAATAAATAAAACAAATGTGAATCATTGAATGTCAAATATACCTAAACGAAGAAAAATTTTTTTTTAAGAATGCAGTTTTGCGTTGCCATGGACACAAGAACATAGTTTTGTAAGGCAAAATTCGAATGTTTTATTTTTAGGCCCAGAACGGAGATATTACAAAGTTTGAAGAGTTCCCATGATATCGCAATTTTCAAATCCGTGACCCTAATTCTTTATTTACTTCTATATACATGTATAAGGACAAGTAAAACTTCTTCCACACAAAAATGACATTTTCTTTCTCCATATATTTGAAAAAAGTCAATGGAGGACATTGTTATGATCTGTATATATGCATGTGTATTTGCGGTGTGATAGAACGCTTTTGTCTTATACAACTTTCACAGTATTTGGATGCTAAACATTATGAAAATTTTAAGGATTACAAAGTTATTTTGTAGTTCTGTAATTTTTATCAGGTATATTTTCGGTATAATATTACATCAAATGTGTTTTTCATTTTATAGAATGTCAGATAGGGAAGTACGGTTACAAATGTCAAAATAGTTGCCCTGTAAACTGTGAGACAGATTGTTCACATACAGACGGTTCGTGCATCTGCAAAAATGGCTGGACCGGAAACATGTGCATGGAAGGTAATTTAATATTGTTTTATTGAATTTCGGTTAATTAATTATACTTCGGCTATCATAGAAGAGTAGAAGAAGCTTAAATTATGTTTACTTACAGTCTCGTTTAGATGAGAACAGTTTCCTATGATTTAAATAAACAAAATACAGTTGTATACAGAAAAACAAAAAATGCTATTTATAGAAATATTCAAAATGGTTGACAACTTTCTCCGAGTTTGTCAAATATAACAATGATTTTGATTTGCGACACTTTATATATTTTTTATCTAAAAGACTACCTCAAGAAAGAGGAATATGTATTTTTCTCAAAGACTAAATACATTTTGTATAATTATTTTGTTTAATCATATGTGTTGAATTTCAAAGATACCGAGGCAAACTTACTTGGTCTCTTTTTTCCGCAACAATTATTATTACTGTTTATATACCTATCATAAAAAATGGAAAATGGGAAAAAATGAATAATAAATTTTATGTGTTGTTAAAACTTCAGTGTGTCCAGCTAATCATTATGGTAAAAATTGTGCATCAGTTTGTGGAAACTGTAAGTCTGGGACAACGTGTCACCAAGGAGACGGGCGTTGCCATGAAGGATGTGCCCCGGAATGGACCGGGCTAATATGTGATGAAAGTAAGTCAATTTGATGCTGTTAAACTGTTTCTTTTTGTAAAAGGATATATCTGTATGTGCTCAAAATTGAGAATAAAAAGTTATGATTATGTATAAACCATGACTAGGAGTCAAGAATACACATGCATACATGTATATACGCATATACTTAAAAATATAACTTATCTGCTATGATGGAAAATATTATCATGTTTTTGTTTAAAAAATCAAATTAAAATTGCTTTATTTTTTTCAGAGAAAATAATCGAAAAATATGAAAGATCTTATGGTGATGTCATAGGGGGCGCTATAGGTGGCGCTATAGCCCTTGGGCTTATCATAGCGCTTGTGGTTTGGATTGTTTGGCGATATAAACAAGAGTAGGTTGTTATCAGTTATAGTGAATATGATTAATTTTCATTCTTTCATCTGTGAATGATGTTTAAATTTTAACCAAAAAATATGCTTTTCAATTGAACTTATTAATAAACCAAGATAAAGCTTTGTTTTCTCTGAATACCCTTTTACAACAAGATAATATTTCTGTTGTTATTTGCTATTTTGTTGCTTTTTTTGTAAAAATATGATTCAATGGGACTAATAATAAAACAAAAAGGAATAAAACAAGAAAAATACACGTAATTTAATGGGTTTTTTTCTTGTAACTATGTCAACTTTCTCATATTTATATTACAGTAAATCCATTCATATCCGAGAGTTGGCGTCCTCATTGCGCCGGATGTCGATCCGAGGTAGCAAATCACTGAGACGCTCGATACAGCGTCTGTCAATGAGAGGACGAAGAAATGATCAACAACGGCTCGGGAAAGGGGCGGAGGCTCCTGCGAAGTCAAACGGTACACGAGGTAACTTTTTCGATTATTAACTTTCTTCACTCTGGTTCACTGTCTATAATACATAGGAACAAGAATTAGAAACACCAACATGTACGATTTATACAAATACTGTAACTGGACTTACAGTCTTATAGTTAGATTAAACTTTATTTATTCAATAAATTGTACATAAATGACATTTACAAACATCGACAACAATGTAATTCAGACAAGTAAAATAATACTTATATCAATTCTTCTCGAGTAAATGTAATTTTCAAGATAAAAATACAAATTTAAAAATGTTACGGTTAGATGTTTACAAGCTCTTTGAATGTACAACAAAGAATAAGAGAATAATTGATTATTGTTGAATTATCACTATAGAGAAACTAAGGTAAATTATGGTGAAATGCTAGAAGAAAGGAAGAACACAGGGGATTCTGTCTTTTTTATTTCTTTCCCACTATATGTATAACAAGGGATACAACTCAAAATTGCTCAATTCATGAAAAAGTAAATAGAACGCAGTATACAACAGCTTTCTTTTCTTTTGATTGTTGGACATTCTTGAAAAAATCTATAATTTCAAAAAAATGACTCACTTTCACACATGGACAAGATATTATTAAAAATAACCTTTCGTGTTTTCATTTTTACACACGTTGGTAAAATTTTGTTTTGTAAAATTACACGTGTAAAACGATATCTAATGCAAAGGTATACTCATATAAGAAAGTTTAATCATGAAACTGGTCAAATATCAATCACCCACCACCATCAATGATGCAATCATTAACTTCTGGTACAAATTATTGTAACAATTTTTGTTTGTTTTCATAATTTCTATCAACGGCTTCCATTTTGATAATGCCCATATGTTCCATGCGTAAACCCAACTTCTATTAGTAACTGTCAATTTCATTGGCTAATGAATAATAATAATCCGGATAATGCCGGCGTTTAGCCGAGGCGAATAGCGGTTTTTCCATCAGCCAATGAAAATACTCGCAAAATAAACACACCTGCATAATGGACGATAATTTGACAGCCGATGTAAATATTGAAATGTTAGTTATTTCCTGCAATGTTACAGGTTTTAATGAAGAGTTTGTAGTAAAACTTGGGTAATGACACGTTCATATATTAACTTCTACAATAACTTTGATGAAATAGAGGATATTTTATACAGTTTACACGTGTGAATGCATTTTACGATCCGTGCTGGTAATGCGAGGCCACGACTTGTATCCCTTGTTTATATTATATATATAGAGATTTAATAAAATAAAGACAGATTTCCCTGTGAGGAAGAATGTAAGGAAAGATATGATTGAATATATCGGAGTTTAATTATTAAGATTAAAATGTGAGAAATATAGTTCTTATAGTTCGTTGTGACTCACCGTCTTCTACACATAGAAGGAAAAGACGGTCAACCCCCCCCCCCCCCACACACACACACACGCGCGTACAACAAACACAGACCCACATGTAGTAGTCCAACCCATGTTGTCTTGTTAAGAGGCAAACACTTTAACCACCAGGCCACTGCTTCACTATACATGTATTATACTTCTTTTGTTTTCCACGAATACTATGTATTTTCTGCGCAATGCATTAGCTATGACTTTTTATTTCTATTCATTTTATTTCAGTAAACTATAATTATACAGTAGGTAAGAGAACTATGAAGAAATTGATAGTACGAGTTGTTCAATGTTCATACACAAACCTAATTACCTACCTTGTTTTTTTAATGTTTTTTAAAGCAGGTAAACCCCACCACGCTGCTCGCCGCATGTACGATTGTGTGAAAGTCCAGTCCAATATGATACATTTTGACGATTTTTCAAGAATATACCTTCAACTACAAGAAGCCACCCCGGACGGTCGGACACTTCTTTATGATTCATTTCAGGTAATAAATTTATATTCAATCAGTCAATGCATAATGCATACCAATATAATACCAATTTACATATAACCATCAAGGAAAAACAATAGTTGTACATTTATTTTTTTCATTTTAGTATTGTAAATAAAGCAACAGTCATCTATAGGTTGTATACACGTATTACAAATTACAAGTTTTCAAGTACCACTTGTTCCTGTAATTAACCGCCTCCGTGGTCGAGGGGTTAGAGTCTATGACTTCTAATCCAGTTACCTCTCTGGCGTGGGTTCGATCCCCAGGAGATGCTTTGGTAGTTTAGCGCGGAGGAAGGTAGTCTAGTACTGGTGTAACTCTCCGGAAACTACCCGCCTATATGACTGAAATTGTACTGTTTGGAAAAGGCGTAAAATGAAACAAACAAACAAGTTCCTGTATTTATACTTATACATGTACATACTTTCTGTTAAAATTCACTATAGACTTCTAACCAGACCCTTTGCATACCTTTTACATTTTGATTCTATATAAATTCAAAGAATTGAAAGATTGAAATACAAAAAAAAAGTTATTTATGTTTGTATTTTCAGTCTTTCCTAGAGCAAAGACCACTTGACCATTCAACAAACGCTAACGGGCATTCTAATAGTTCATATTACAATGCAGCAGGTAATTAAGAAATTGCGTTCACATTATACAAACATTTAACTTAAGAATGATGAAATGTTTCAAGAGTTTATAAATATAACAGGTATAATATTCTTTGTCTATATAAACGTGTTCATGTTGTATGTAAAATAGGACTGAATTTACTACATGTATTTTTATCACCATATTTCGACCCGGTTACTAAAGAGGCAAGGGCTTTTTCACGTCGTCTGCTACAGAGTAGCGGCGACTTAAAAGCGATCACTTCTTAGTAGTCTGTCTGTCAGTCTATCTGTCCGTCCGTCAAAACTTGTGCGGACTACTTTTCAAAAACTACTGTGTGCAATGACATTCAAACTTTACAGGAATTGTCAGTACCAAGTCGGTATTGTAATTGTTAGTAATATCGTCGGCACCGAAAAAATCGGCATAATGCCTGTCTTTAAGTGTCCTTGCGGATATTGTCGGAATTTATTAGGGTGTAATTGTTGCCCTTTTCACATTAATTATACAATATTGGTTGAAAACCTGTTGTTTTTTGTTGTTGTTGTTGTTGTGTGATTTTTTTTATTTTTGTAACTGTTACTTAATTCTAACGTCAGAGATTTTGGGAAAAACGTTATACATGTAGAATTATATTTCAGTTGAGCCGGATGATATCCAAATTAACATTGGTTCAAATACAACAAACAGAATTCCCGAATTTTTACCAGTAAGTGGACTTACATTAAAAGCAATTTGTTAATATGATTGATGTAAGTTGTTTTTTGGGTTCCGAATGCGCATTTCTTTCCTCTGATAAATTTAAATTGAATTGTTTCATTTGATAATGTTATAAATAAATAAACTTACACAATCAAAGTCAAGAACAAATTTAACTACGCTATTCAAATTGCTAAATATTTAAGTACAAATGTAGTAATTATTGTGCCTACATTGATAATTTGTTACTATACGCTTACCGGTAACTGGCATAGATAACACTGTAGGGGGGGGGGGGAGGTGGGGGGCATTTGGATTTACCCTTGTCCGTCCGTCCATCCGTCCGTCCTTCCTTCCGTTCTCTTTTTGTGCCGCACGTAGCTCAAAAAGTAATTGACCTTGAGTCATGAAACATTACAGGAATGTTGATCAGCATGTGAAGTTGTGCACCTGGGTATTTTTGTGTGGATATATTTAGTGTTTTTACAGTTATTGCCCTTGACTTAGTAAAAATTTGCAATTTTCAACTTGTGTCGCACATAACTAAAAAAGTATTCAACCTAGAATCATGAAAACTTACAAGAATGTTGCTCAGCATGTGTAGTTGTACAGCTGGGTATTTTCGTGTGGATATTTTAAGCATTTTAGAGTTATTGCCCTTGACTTAGTAAAATATTGCAATTTTCAACTTGTGTCGCACGTAACTCAAAAAATATTTGACCTACAGTCATGAAGCCTCACTGGAATGTTGATCAACGTGCACCTGGGTATTTTTGTGTGGATATATTTTAAGAGTTATTGCCCTTGAATTAGAAAAAAATTGTAATTTTCAACTTGTGTTGCACGTAACTAAAAAGTATTTGACGTAGAGTCATGAAAACTTACAAGAATGTTGCTCAGCATGTGTAGTTGTGCACCTGGGTATTTTCGTGTGGATATTTTCAGTATTTTTAGAGTTATTGCCCTTGATTTAGTAAAAATTTGCAATTTTCAACTTGCGTCGCACTTAACTAAAAAAATATATTTGACATAGAGTCATGAAACCTTACAGGAGTGTTGTTGTGCACCTGGGTATTTTCGTGTGGATATTTTTAGTATTTTTAGAGTTATTGCCCTTGACCTAGTAAATATTTACACTATTCTACTTGTGTCGAACGTAGCTCAAAAAGTATTTGACATGTAGGCCTGAAAGTTTACAAGAAGTGTACATGTGCACCTTGGGGTTTTCTTGTGGATTTATTCAGTACCTTTACTTATTAAGATTTTTAGTTTTCAACTTGGGCACAAGTAGCCAAAAAATGACCTAGAGACATAAGATTGACAAATCGGTGGAGTGTGGGGGCACCCGTGTCCTATGGACACATTTCTAGTTTAGTGTAAAATTAATGTAAATTATCATTATATTTTGTAGCTGGGTTCGAATCTCAGTGGGTTCCTGTTAGTCAATGCCCCAGCAGCCTCAGAGGTTCTGTGGAATCATTTACAACAAAGACAAATAGAAACCATTATAACTATCGGAAAGGTAAGTGAGATCACCACACCAAATACCGTATTTCGGTATATACCGGACAAAGCTCTTGAATGATTTAATGCTAAAAATCTCGCCTTTTCATCCGCCATAATGCATTCTAACTCGCCGATTTCATCTGTTCCCACCAATTTATATACGATAATGAATGAAAAATGTTAAAATCAATGAGAAAAGCGACATTTTCTATGATTTCTGCAAGCGTCAAGAGATTATGAGCTTATGCTCAAACACTGTAGCGAGTTACACATGTTTCACTAGACACAGTTATTATTTCTACAATAAAAGTTAAATGGAAAGTGTATTAATACAAATATGCAATATAATAAGAAATAAAAGGTAAAATAGCAACCTGGTTAAACTCTGTCTTTGCGTTGTACGGGAATAACTACCACTTGCATGATCCTATTTCATTTTAAATCAAAACACAGAAGGCGCTGAATTTGTTTGGGTCTCAGAATGTCAGAAAGGTGAAGGTTGTGAGATTATTTGTATAGTGCCACCAATTCTTTCCAGTGTTTCGACTGTAGTAAATTGGCTATAAGACTAATTGCAACACTGATATTCAATTCAATGTTTATTTGACTTAAAAAAACAATTTGAAAAAAAAAAAATGTCTTAACTGGGATTTGAACTCAAGACCTCTCGATTCTTAAGCGAACGTGCAAACCCCTCGGCCACGGTGAAGTTAAATGTTAACAGACTGAAAAAAAACATATTATTCTTAATTAGGGTTTGTAACTTATTATTTCGACACTAAACCTGTTGTTTAACACAGATGTAAATAATCATGGAGCTTACTATAAGCATGTATATCTATAAAGAATAAACAATATTAGAAATCTTCGACCAATCGGGAACTATTCTGCTTGAAAATTAATGCGCCTGTCTTTTAACAATCTTTACGCAGTGATCTCCCCTGAATTTTTCGGCGTTAGTGTACATATAAAGGGAAGTAACCGCTTCAAAAAAGCGGACTACTTTCAGCATTTGCAATTAACAGCATCAGGGTCTGAAATTTCGCTACCATTATTTGTTTGGTCTGACGACCCAAACAAATAAAAACGATTAAACTACAGGGAGGATGTATACTTCCCTCATCGGCGTTGGTTCGAGTCACATAAGGAACTTTTGGGAAGCTCTCCAGGTTATTTGAAATGTCGGTGTTTCTACTCGAATGCCCGCTCGTGTACGAAATAATGATCTATTTGGCATCTGCGGTCTTTCTCCGTCAGAAAAGCTGGAAAGTTGCTATAATTATGACTTTTACAGTGCGGTGTGACATAAAACACAACCATTTAGACTATTTTAAGTATATCACCGTTTACAAAGTGAATACCTTCGTTTGATATTATTTTATATTAATAAATGACTGGGAAACGGATTAGCAATAGCACAAGTGTATTGTAACAATTTTTCCTATAAAAAAAGGAAAACACTGAGTGATAATTTATACAACAATGTCTGATTATTTGATATGGTATGAAAACAATTTTAATGATAATTCTTACCTCTGATAATTCTTACTTCTAGTATTAATATAATATTATAACTAATATTATAGTTTATTTAATCAGTGAAAAAACGTTTGGCTTTATCGAGAATATTGCTAACAAGTGTACCGATACCTTAACATTACAAGGTCGTTTCAGGAAAAAATTATTTCAGATATTTGATATATGAATGGTACAGGGCTGTTTTTATCTTAAACTATTTTTATCCTACTCAGGGAGCATCGTTTTCGTGGCGTCCAGGCGAGAGGATAACTGTTGGACATGACGTCATTGAGTGTATTGACGTCCAGTTGCATGGTTCACATAAAGAAACTAAACTAACAGTTCAAAGAGTTGTAAGTTATTTTATATTTAGATCTGTAAACAGACGTATTTTTAATAATAATTTAAAAGTTTGTAAAGAGAAATTTGGGTTAACTGTATATATATGAATCGATCAAATTTATTGTATTGAATAAGATTACAGTGTGTACAGGGAAAACTAGGTGACAACTTATGCTCAATCTTCAGTGGTTTAAATCATTACTCAAAACCCGATGAAGATGTGCGCAATCTACATGGGTTTAAAGCATCATTCAAAAACCTGTTATGACTTTTGCGCAAACCTCAGGGTTTTAAATTATCACAGAAAACCCTGTGACAACTTGTGTGCAAACTTCAGGGTTTTAAACCATTATCCAAAACCCGGTAACGACTTGTGCGCTAACTTCAGGGTTTAAAACCATCACTCAAAACCTGGTGACGACTTAAGCGCAAACTTCAGGGTTTTAACCGTCATTCAAGACCTGGTGACGACTTGTGCGCAAACATCAGGGTATTAACTCATCACTCAAGACCTGGTGACGACCTGTGCGCAAACTTCAGGGTTATTAACCATCACTCATAACCGGTTATGACTTGTGAGGAAACTTCAAGGTTTTTAACCATCACCTAAAACAGGTTATGACTTGTGAGGAAACCTCAAGGTTTTTAACCATCACCTAAAACAGGTTATGAACTCGAATTCCGTGGTTTTAAACCATCGTCTATACAATGACATACTGTTTCAGTGGCTTTAATCAACTATTTAATGTTAAATATCACAGGGGACAAGAGGAAGACGCGGTGTCAGGCATTTAGAGTGTTTCTTCTGGAACAAAAATGAAAAGTTTCCATTAATACCAACTTTGTTAATGTTCATGGAACGTTTCCAGCTCATTCAGAGAGAAAGGGAAAGAATCATCCTTGTTAATTATATGTAAGTATTTTATTAAGTATAAAATAACACTTTTGTTCACATTAGGTACAACAATATAACAGTTTAATAAACATAAATAGTCAACAATGAATAAAATGACGCCTATTTTCATTTTCACATCGGTGCTATATGTTGTAGTTTATCCTAAAATTTTCAAATTACATATACATGTATTTTGAAGAAGAAAAGAACAAAGAGCTTTATCAAGTTCGCAATGGTCAGATTGGGTATTACTGTTGATATACAAGTTCTTATACATGGACAAACAAATGATTCATTATTGAAACATCGTTGAATTATCGATATTCCAAATTTAATTTTTCCGCAATAATTCATAAAAAAATGTCGCTTTAAAAACAAGTAATACTGACTTCCATTTACCGATATTTTTCCTGTATCCTCCCTACTTTGATTGGTATATCAGAGATATTGGTATAAGGTTTAACAAGTTCTTTTTTTATTTAGTTCAGTCTCAGATCTCGGGATTTTCATTGGTCAGTATACATTCTGAGGTGATTTCTGGGATATCTGAATTTGAGCTTATTACTTTCGACCCTAGTTAAATATAGTTATTTAAAAGTTAATTCCGACTTTTAATTTTACTGGCATGCTATGTGTCCATTCTTGTATCATATAAAAAGATATGAAATGGTGACTTTAATTTGCCATATAATTTTCAGGGAGCTTCATGACCAGGCAGTATTGTTTACACTAGTGGCTTCCTCTCTAGAAATTCTTAATGAATCCAAGCGTACAGACGTCCTCAGAACTGTTGCCATTGGAGGAAATGCCACAGCAAAATCCATCAGAACATTTGTAAGTGTATTTATATTGTTCATATTTTAGTTCTTTGCTACACATATTCCGAGCAAGAAGTTTGATCTTATTATGTACTGGACTCTTGCTCAAATGCTAGCTAGTATTTGGCACGATATATACTATAGTGTGACTTGAGGCTGTTTTCATACAATGAAGTAGCTATAGTTTGTTTTTACCTTCAGAACAGACTTTGCCTGATCATAATTTTCGTCTTTTTAGTGCAGTAACTGGTTAACTCCTATAAAGTTATATAAGGGGTTAACTTGTTACTGCACTAAGATTACAATTTATAGTCTTGAAATAAAAAAAATTACATCTGATTATAAAAAGCTGAAGTAGCTAGAGGATGTGTGGAGCATATAATTATGTTCTCATATATTCATCATAAAACACCTCCAGGAAAAGCTGCATGAATGGGGGGAGGGGGCGGGTATTGAAGTCATTCAGTGGCAGTTTCAGTTTTGAGGTCAGTAGGTCAAAGGTAAAGGTCACTTTGATCTTTACCACTAAAAACATGTAGAATACATAAATTAGCAATGCACTGGCTTACTTCCCTCAGATTTGGCTGGGAGGTTGTCCTTGAGCTCTAAATGACTACTGTTGATTCTGACAAAGTGGTATGCGGGGGTAATCACGCCATGACAGTGGCAGTTCTAGTTTAATTAATTATAATTAAAGCAATCTGATTCATCATCATTAGTTACTGTACTAACGGTCACCACTTTTCGGCGGTCACCGTTAGTACAGTTTCGACTGTATGTTTTCCTTACTATACTTCTCAAACATTGATATGTTGAGGCTAAATGTCTAAAATATGTTTAATACAATCATATGTTCAGTATTCATTCCTACAAGACAGATTGTAATGTTGACTATTGGTCGTCATTAACAGTAGCTGAATTGTGCTCTTTTTGCCTCAGAATTCCATATTTTTGAAATAGATGTACTACAGAAATGCCAAACATGTGTTTGATAATGTTTAAGTAATATATTAAGAGCATGTTAGATATTCAACAAAAGAAAAAAAAACAGATCTCGAGTTATGTGTTGTTAAGGTAGCAAAATGTAAACAAAGTAGTATTTTGACTTCCATACAAAATACTAATTCACTAAATATAACATTTGCTAACAGAGCAAAATATAGTTAATGTATATGGTAAATGAGTATTTTTTTTGGAAACTGACAAGAGAGAATTAAAAAAAAACAGCATTTCTTGAGCATAATGGGCCTTTGAATATCGTTCATAATGTACAATAACTTTTCTTTGTTTTCAGGAGGAATTCAAGTATCTTCATGACGTCATTTTTCAATACATAAGAATGATGGATAACCGCACAGGTTCTACTGCTATCTGATGGGAAAGACATTGTGTTTATAATTAGGTCAGCTAAATGAGGTTCTTTTTAAAAGCATTAGCGCATTATTTACTGTATATTCAACTTACATAGAACCTCTGTAAACTTGCCAGTTTTACATGTTTCTACACGATGTATTGATGTGAAATGAATTGTTTTGTATTATAAAATACAAGCAATTAGGTAAGAATATATAAAAGAATACTAAGTATTCAAAAACAATTATAATGTTGTACGTAGTGTTAAAACTAAAGGTTAAGCAAAGGAAAACTAGTATCTAAGTAGTCAGTACACGTGTACAGTTGTCATGGCGACATTCAGTTTATGGAATTTTAAAAAGACTGCCACATATTTTCCTTCAAGGATAATTTGATTTTCCCTTAAAATGTAACGTTCCATGCTTGTCAGATGCTCACGTGCTAAAATCTTTCAGAATTTGAAACTCTACCCGATTTTAATCTGGTACTTCCGGTATCAGTGTCATTGACTTCCGGTATCATTATAGATTATCTTAATGCTATCCGGATGTTGATTTTGTTAGTGATTATAACCTTAAAACTTACGAGTACAACTTGAATGATTAACATTTTATGAAAATATTTTGATCTGCTCTGAACCTGAATATTAAAGCCTTAAATTTACATTTTAATTTATACTTATACTGCTTATAATGTACATGATTTATTTTTTACATTCATTTTTTTTTGTTAAATTTTATATAATGATGCAAAAAAAATGTTAGTGTATATAAAAAGTGTAAAATATTGGGCCTAAACATGACATGCAAATCATTAATACTTGCATAGTGTACAACAAAAAGTCATTGTTCATAACATTTTGACTTACTTATGTCACATGTCAACATGTCATATGTCTGTGAATGATTGCTCAGATTAGTATTTTAATTTCGAAATCCCTTAAATTGATAAATTTGTAGTTCCAAAATAAAGACTACAACTTGAAATTTTTGTTTGACTCTTAAGTCAAATGTAAACAAGTTTTAATAAAGCATATAATTCAGGTCATTATATTTATTCTAGAATTCAACTTACTTTAAATAATCGAGATTACGTTAACTGAACTTTCTCTAATTCATTATACAGACTTGTCTAACAGCGTCTGTACATACAAACATGTATATAAACAATCACTAAAATCATTTTGTTTTAGCTTTAGTTCAATTTCTTTTGCAAATTTCTCAGAACCAATTGCGCTTGTTTAACATGGATTTTTTTTTCATTTTTGTTAAATCACAACCGAGCAATAATGTATTATTTTTACGTTTTTTATATTTTTTTGTGGTATTATATACCATTTTTCTTGTTTTCTTGTTATACCTTGGTATCCATACACACATATATACCTCAAAAGTGTGCACGTAATTCACGTGCATTAAGAACTGGTTGGGTTATTTTGTAGTTTTAATATATGTGCCATACGTGTAGTAATATCTCTTTTATTTTTTTAATATAGTATGACTTATCTGTACTTTTTGGCTGTACAAGTCACACGTGTGAAGACGTGCTATTTTGCTGACGTCATATTCCATCTGAAAATGATCGTATTGCTCGAATGTTTTAATATCTGACAAGTAATATTAGAATAATTTTCAACTTCTGATTTGGCAACTTCATTTGTGCATTTCGAATAATGTACCGATTGGTACATGTACCTGTTTTCACATTACTTTCCTTTAAGAAAGATTTGATTCTATGTAGACATTTTGTTTGTAGTTATGAATCCTTTTTAACGATAGTGATATTACGGACTTGCGAGTGTCACCTGTCAAGCTGTACAGCTTTGCCAGCCTGCTTTTTAAGCTTGCCACTTTATTTTTAGCATTTTGTTTTCAAAACCCCTCAAACTAGCAATGAGCTTATCAAAATTCTCCCTAACAATGCTAAATATCTGAAATGGAATTGCCCGGATTTTTCGATCTGGACGGAACCATCCATCTTGTTTGTTTGCTATTTTTTTAAAATAAATTTAACATTTTAGCTGAACGTTTTTAACCATAAGTCAAACTGAGACAAGCAATTTATTTAGTACAAATGCTTCTATTTCATTTGCCAGCTGAATATAGAATCTTCAATTTTTGCTTAATACATTTGGATATTTTCAATGTCGAGATGTACCTTTGCATAGTAAAGTACTAGTATATAAAATCTGGGATCAAGTTGTATTACACTTGTAATTTTAGTTCAAGATTCAAGATTTCAATATTTGTTAGAAACCCTGAATTTAAAATCAAATTGACTATTTAAATACTGGATGCAATTTTTATGTTCTTATCTCAACTTACTTCACATATTGTATGTTACCAAAAAGTTGTCCTAGTTTTAATAAATCAATTTTATTTTTTATGTCAGTTCTTTAACTATATAAACAAATTCAGCTCATTTGTAAAAAAACACATGTTTTTATACGTATCTATATATTTTATATGTATTATATTAT